CCGGCTGCCTGCTTCCCTCCAGCCCCATCCCCCTCCGTACCATCCAGCAATCCTCACGTTCCCCCTGGATTGTTCTGTTGCTTATGGAACGATCACATTCCTGCTACTGACAGCGATGCATATCTTGATGTATTTATTGCCTCCACATGGGTATATGGATATGGGTAATTTAAGATGGGTGTCTCATTTTAAGGATGTGAGAGTTGGTACGCACAGTGTCCCGTCCTCAGACGACATGTTCAGACCGACCACAGTTCATTCACGGATACATATTACACACACAGCTGGAAAGCTATAATCTAATTGGCTGACTTTACACAACTTTTGATGTGCACTTCCCCACTATACAGTATGCAAAGAGCAACACATTAACGATTTTATCAAATGTTATGCATCCCAAGAAAATTGTTCTTTGTAGTTAAATTACTAAATTTAACAAAATTTGTATAGTGTCATTGGTTAAATAACATATGGGTCAAAGGACAGTGATGAGATGGCAGATGCAGTACGTTTCATTTTTATACTATGCATCGGTATAATAAAAAACACTTCTTTGCTATATACTCTACAAATATATTGGATTTTAGACACAACAAGCGCCTTAATTAAGAATTAAATAATAGGCACTTAGTAGTAGGTAAACTACATTTCTTCAAGCAAAAATGTATTATTCGCTTTGTGTTCTGTGTTTGTGTATTGTTGTTATACAGTCTCAGATTAACCAGCTCCTAAAGGCCCAGACACATTAAACTGACATCAAAGAAACCCGACTGTGGTGTCTTCTCATGTCGCCTTTTAAACCAGAAAAGTTGCGCTTGAGGACATTGCAAAAACTAAAGCCAACTAGCACATAATTATGCATCTGCGTGAAGGGAAATAACTCTCCATACCAGCAGATGGCAGTAGTCTGTGTTCTGCATTTAAAAAGGGAAACCAGAATAGCTAGGACTGCAGTTATACAAACCCTAAACAAAGCCTTTTTTAAGTTTATTGATTGCTTGCTTTCGTCACTACTGTTTTTCTTCTCGTGCACTGGTTTGCCAAGGTGAACAGCCAATTAGAGTGATCTCTCTTACTCTGCAGCCGTTTTTTAACAAAGCCACTAATAGGGGACCGACTAGGAAAACACCACAGAAGCTATGCTGACAGACTCTCAGTGACAGCCCAACATTTGTGTAGCATCCTTAACTGCAGCTGGCCGCTTTACCTGTCAGTCAGATGGTCTCGTCCTATCTAAAGGTGTGGTCACATTAGTGAAACTTTGGTGAAGTTTCACAGGCAAAGAAGGTCCATTGCCAATAATATAGTGATGCGTAAGCCACTGCTTTCTCACTTCCAAACCAATCAGCTCTATCCACCTTATTTTTCCCATAAGAGCGGGCACTGCCATTTGTGAATTTGGCTTCAGGTGTCATTGGCTTCCAACTATTTTTAGCTGTACAAAACAAAATTGGCTATTTTACAAAGGTAAATATAACAGCATACTAAGTTAGTTGTTCTTGGCCGGAATAAAGGCTTTTCACACCAAAAATGGTAATTATAATGATAACTATATTACTGTCCACATCAACAGACGATAACGTTCAGCATGTGCAGCAGTTTTGTCATCTGCCACTTTAAATGCTCAAGCTCTTTAAATTCTGGTGGATTCTGATTGGCTGTCAATGTTTTTATTGTTCAAAATATGGATAAAAAAACTTTCTGAAAGGGATTCCAATGATATCGTTCTTCTGTGTCATTATTTTTATATTGGTGGTGTGGACCAGTGTTGTCAACATTTCAACAAAGGGGACCCTCAACGGAGGGAAAAACCACTGAAAAAAAATAAAAACACGAATAGGCTAGTTTTGAATAGCAATCGGCTGGTTTTGTTTCACAGACCTGGCAACCCTGATGTGCATTTCCCTATTCTCACAGAATTCAAATGAGTGTTAAAACTTTAACGTCCTTGGTGTGAATGGGCCTTAAGCTATGCAGGACTAGTACGCTAATGGTAGAGTTGATTTACTCACAGATCATCTCTCAAACTCCACCTAATCAATACCATTAGGGAGCTGTGGAGCGCAGGGACCGGATGCGTTTCGGAGAATATGACAGCAATGGATTTTATTTCCGTAACGGATTTGAGCTGGGGTGCAAGTGTGTGTGTGCTTGAGTAAAACACACTATTCCTTTTACCGCACTCTCGATGAGTTTTAACACTGACCTCGACCCGTAAGCTGATGGGCGTCTGACAGCAGGCACTTTACTGATTTGTTCCTAACATTAAGAGCCCATTCACACGCTCCTCATTGTACAAGAACTGTAGCTTTGAAGGAGATCTTTGATCACTGTTACCATGGTTACACCATTGACTTTTCTTCATCTTGCATGGTAAGGCTTTAGCAGAGTCAGAGGCCTGTCAAGCGCAGTGCATGTACACAAACCTGAATGTGTCCATGTGTCCATTCCTCATCTCACGCCAAATCGTTCCAGCAGCTATCTTAAGATATGATTTCCACCCACCTGCACCCCTGACCCTCCATCCCTTTCAGTGGCTTCATCTTTTGCCAATAGTGAAATAGTAACAAACTCTTTTTAACCATGCAGCGGGGAGAATACCAGGTAAACGCTTTTACATTTACCATTCTTTCCTCCTAACTCTTTCCTCTAACTGTAATGATTTCTTTGAAGGTCCCTCTCTTCCTCCCCCAGCTACATCAGCCGTCTCTAGCATGACTGTTGCAACGTGAATAAAGGCAATAATGCTTCACAGCCAGAACGCGCTCTGAACGCAGTGTGCCTGGCTGCCCCATACTGTCGGTTGTGAATGTGCCGGACAAAGGCAATTTCAGGCTTGATGGCCACTTATCACAGCCTGACTTTTTTTCTTAAATCTATTTTCTGGATATATTCAGGCACAAAAGATTAAAGAGAAAGCGACTGCAAAGGTGATTTGTGGAACAAAGAGGCACGCGCTGCATTTTAATGTACTGTGGCGTGTTTTTATCGAATTCGAAAATGGCGTAAAACTGTATCGAACTGCTCTCCTGATATTGCTCATGTGTAAGTGTAATGAATGAGATGGACCCATCAAACCGGTCCTTTGTATATAATTAGGTTGATTGTATCACGCAAGATATTGATTAAAAAGGCCACTTTCATCATAAGAAAAGCACATGGGCTTGCAAAAATGCAAAAGACTGTCCTGTATGTGCAGCACTAACCTCATTCTCTGCCCTTTGATAATGACGTCAGGTGGACTAAAGCTGCACCCCGGCCTGACTTACGGAGCCTCCGAAAGCAGTACAGTATTCCGTGTCCAAGCCTTTGTGCTTGAACAGACCGTAGCATTTAGAGACTTAGCACATGGCAATTCCCTCACACTTGATTCTTTGCTGACATTTCGAAAGCTCTGTTCCTAATAAGAAAGCAACTGTAAACAACTCAAAGGTTGGCTGAATTTAATACCAATAAAGACGGACAGAGACACACCTGAAATTTCTTTGCTGCTGGTCTCGCTTTCTCAGCCATTTCTAATGATTTTAGTCAAATGGTCAAGGGTGAAAATGCTGTATATGCATTCTGAAGCATAGCCCTGTGTCCATTGCTGGCTCTTTAGAAGCTTGGGTGGGATATCAGGACTCCTGTCGCCTGTCTTTGCATCCCCGCTCCTGTGTTTGCCCCGGTGTTGTGCTTGATGTAGATTTTAGATCTTGTGTTGTATTCCAGAAGCACTTCGTATGCATATAGATTTTATGTAATATTGCTGCAGGGCAATGTATTACTGCAGTCTTGCTTTAGGATTACTGCATATGGGTCAATGACATGAGGCTCTTCTTTTGGTCCGGGTCCATTCATGTATTTAATAATAAACTGCAATTCATACATTCAAACACCTGTACAGTATAATACCTCTTCTACGATGGAACAGTCCTAAAAAATAATGAGGAAAATCCTTAATAAAACAATTGTCTTGAAAAGAAAACCTTAAGTGGTTTGTCTGTAGTTTTAAGTAGTGTCTTAGGGGGGAAGAGTCAACAAAATGACTTTGCAGCTTATTACTTTTTGAAGAACTACCAAATCAAAGTTGTGTAATGTGATCCAACAAACACAACATGTGCTGTAACCAACATGCTGGAAAAAAAAGAAGAAAAAAAAAGGAAATTCAGGTTATACAATCTTTTTATGATGAGCAAGGTTTTTATATCATGTGGTTTGGCTCCCCAAAAACTAAAAAAAAAAGTTACATATGTATATATAGCGCTGTCAAAACGATTAATCGCATCCTATATACATATACATATATATATATTATATATATGTGTGTGTGTGTGTGTATATATATAAATATGTGTGTGTGTGTGTGTGTGTGTGTGTATATATATATATATATATATATATACTCTTATTTTTCCTTTTTTTGTATTTTTGTAACTTTAATTTGATAATTTTTGTTCATTTGTTTTATATTTTTTATTTTATTTTTACATTTGTTTATTCAAATCTATATTATTAATTGTAAGGAAAATTTCAGTTTTTAGTTTTTACCTGGTAGTTACACCACATGACATTTTTAGTCATTAAATTGAAACCTTTCTTGAAAATATGAAGTTTTTCAAAATCATATGAAACCAGCATGCATGCAAAGAGCCCATTTGTAAGAACTTGGAACATGTTTTTTTTTTTTAAACCAAAAGACTTTTCCTTTTTGTTACCACGAACATTAGGTTTGTCGTTGACCCCTATGTTTGATCCTGGACTGTAAACAGATGCTTGCGTTACAATGTGAAATAAGCACTTCTAATGTGTGTGACGTACTTACAGCAGTGTACTTTCTCCTTTTCGTTTCTCATGCAGGGATACTGGAATGGCCTTTTTGGACCAAACTGGTGGTTGTGGCTATAGGCTTCACTGGCGGACTGGTGTTCATGTACGTGCAATGCAAGGTCTACATCCAGTTGTGGAAGAGACTCAAGGCCTACAACAGAGTAATATATGTGCAGAACCGCCCAGAGACCTGTAAAAAGAACGTTTTTGATAAGCCCTCTCTTCTGGAGCCAAACTTGGAGAATAAAGAGGCGCTCGGGCCGGCGCAGTCGGACACAAACTCTTCCCAGTATACAGAGACAGAGGACTACAGTATGGAGATCCTGCACGTCTGATCGCTTGGCCCACATATACCCCCTCCTCCCCTCTAGAGGACCGGCTGGGGCGTCGCATGCTCCGGGACACACAGGGATGCCACACAGCACCGGGCACGAGGACTGTCTGAGACTGAGACTCGTTTAGTTGTTTAGATGTTATTTTCTCTTCGTTCGTTTGTCCAACCTGTTCCTGTAAGTTGTCGGCTAACCATAATGAATCAGTGTGCGCTAGATCTCGGATCATTCCAGCTACTGCCATTGTACTGCTGTCGTCGTACACGAGTTGAAATCCACCGTTCGAGCTGTGTATGTGCGCTGGTTCTGCTGGAGTCGATGCATAGAAGCACTTTTTATTTCCCTGTTCTTAAGAGCCCTGTTTTAATAATATATTCATTCCCTTTCTATGTGGGTAAGACATTAAAACAAACTTGAAGTTTTGCCAGCGAGATCTCACGTTTTATAGGTGCATTTGTGTCTCCGCAGACCCCTCAGATGGAACAAAAAAGGAATCTGAAGGAGCGATGAGGGAACGTTTATGTACTGTCATGTATCATTCCACTTCTTTTAGAAATCTATTATGACTGCGTAAATTCTGAATTTAGCCGTTGTGAAATTGACATGACCTAGGCTTTATTTTATATCAGCTGATTACTAAATAATCTGGATCATCTAATTACAATATTTATCAGGGCTAGAGCTAGATTTACTAAAGTGCGACGCTACAGTTCTTAGCACGTGCAAACCCATACGGTGACTAGTTGCCGGCTATGCCGCTGATTTTTGCATTTGCTGAAGACTTCACTGGGCTAGTGAAAGACTTTAGTAACTCAGGCCTTAAAGTGTATGTTGCGAATGTAAAGAATTCAAATTTCTCCCTGAAGGAAATGAACTTCAGTGTAGCATCATGCAAGCTTTGCAATGAATCAGTCATGAATTCTGTGTGAAAGAGATTTACCTTCATTATGAATTTTACCTTTTACCATTCTAAATCCAAGATTTTTTTCTGTTCTTTTATAAAATAGATTATTAAAGATCTGCCATTGCTTCTGAGTTGATTTGAAACCACTTGAATAACAGGAATGAGGTTTTAGCAATGATGAAATGATGGCTTGAACTAGTTAGCAGGACTATTACCCCCGTTCTGCTTGTTTGCTCAGATTTTGAAAACAATTATAGCAAATTTCCCATGGGTGTAATTTCAGGTTTGTATGTATTCGGTAATATTGTTTAGCATTTCAATGGCTTTAAATGTTGGGAAATAGCCATGTTAGTTTTGGCCTTCATTCTAATGTGTATTGACCTGGATACGACTTTGATTGACGTCCCCAGCAATGATCATTTTTATGGGCTGTGCTTCTTATAAACTCTATTGTGAATGAATCTTTTTCATGCTCTGATATGTTCAAAAGGTACAGGATACTTCTGCCATCTAGAGCTACTGCACAGAGAATGCACATTCATCATTTTTTAACCTCTTCTGACTGGCTTTGTGCCCTTTGACCAATAAAAGATGCTCAATGTTCAGTTTGCTAATGACATAGCTTTTGTATTCCTTATCAAGTCGACTTCTTACGTTGAGTCTGTCTGTATGCGACCAAGCATATTCTTTGGATAACGTCACATGCACTACAACAATGCATTAATGCAACCCCGTCAGCTTTGAGAACATCCAAATGAAGCCTTTTTTTTGTTGGAGATATGAAGATGTGTGGAATACAAGTACTGCATTGGTTAAGTGTTTTGCCAGTAAATCCTTACCAGCCCCATAGCCTAGCGATAAGAGACATTATACTTAGTTTTATGGCAGTAATTAAGATTCACTTTCCCAAGTTTGGTTTCGTTGATAGCATATTTGTAAAATGGTGGGAGCTGGCTCCTTTTACTATCTAGTGATGGAAACACTGAAACAGATACACATTTTCCAGAATCTTTTTAGCACTGCACTGCATCATATTTTGATGAATGTGTTTTAAAGTGCAGTAATAGTCTTGTTTGTTTCATGGCTCGTCATAGAAGTGTTCAGTGCATTACTACTGAATTTTAAGATTCACTTTCCCAAGTTTGGTTTCTTTGATAGCATATTTGTAAAATGGTGGGAGCTGGCTCCTTTTACTATCTAGTGATGGAAACACTGAAACATACACATTTTCCAGAATCTTTTAGCACTGCACTGCATCATATTTTGATGAATGTGTTTTAAAGTGCAGTAATGTTGATAGCATATTTGTAAAATGGTGGGAGCTGGCTCCTTTTACTATCTAGTGATGGAAACACTGAAACAGATACACATTTTCCAGAATCTTTTTAGCACTGCACTGCATCATATTTTGATGAATGTGTTTTAAAGTGCAGTAATAGTCTTGTTTGTTTCATGGCTCGTCATAGAAGTGTTCAGTGCATTACTACTGAATTGGCTTGAACATGGATAACATGCATCTCCCTCTTATTTCTTGTACTTTTTCTCTAGTAGTAAATAGTTTCTCTAAGCATTTTTTGAGCATTAAAGCAGCACTATGTAACTTTTTCTGTGTTCAAAATTGGTTAAATGTATATAATGAGCGAATACATCATGAATTCATCTTCCAAACCGCGTTTTTGTCTTATTCCGAATCACTACGGTACACTTATAATAAGTACTTATATTTGGACTATTGTAGCCTGGTCGGGTCGTCACCGCTGCGGAGTAACACATACCTGCGTGAATCGCCATAGACATAAACTTAGAGAAGTAGCTCAGGTTGGAATGTTCTTCCGCGGGATGTGTGCAGTTCTGTTTATTAACCGCTAGAGCGCCAAAAGTTACATGGTGCTGCTTTAAAAAACAACCAAATAAAGGAAATGTAGAAGTTATTTTCACCAGCCTGTGTTGTACCAGATGTTTGTTTTTATAAATTACTGTAATAACAGGTGATTAAAGGTCTGAAAACTGAATATGCCTGGATATGTTGAACGAATTATTTCCCATAGGAAAGTTAAATGATATTCTCAGTTGGTCATTTATGTGTTGTCAAGGCCTTTAATAAACACTGTGTCAAATAGACAACATCAGTGGAGTTGATCAAGCTATTCACGTCGTGGCTTTCTCAGTGGATAAATACTGGTTTTGGGAAACTGAAAAGGCTGTAATTTACATGTATAGTTTTGTATTTTATGTATGTTTCTCTTTTTCCCCCATCAGTATTACCACCTTTATTTGGTTGATTTTAGTTTCTTCGCTGAGACACGAGTGACTACATTTGTGCTGTGTTTTTAAAGGGAGTCTGAGTGGAGCAATAAAAGAAATCTTAACTTCAAGGAAGTCGAACTGCACCGTTTATTTGTCACTAACTCATGAGTTTCAGTTTCTCTGAAGTGAGATCTCATGTTCTCATGTGATCCTTCAAGAGCGATGCATTTTATAAGTTTATTATCATCACAGTACCAAATGCTATTTTATTAAGAAACTAGGCCAAACATTAAATCCTCATGCACTGCACATGAGCCATAGAGCCAGAGGGGGGGGGTCATAAAGGTCAAGCAGCTTCCATATTAGCTCCATGTCTTTGCCTTTAGCTCCCCCCTTGGTAGGACACAAAAAAACAATGAATTTAAAACCCACATACATGATGACTAAGATATTTTCAAATAAAGTTTAGTTTGAAATATCTACATAAACGTGTCATACTGTCAAACTCTCAAATGGTCCCCCAACACAAGAAGAGAAGAAAGGCAGGTCATTACACAGAATACAGTTCATTAAATGGCCCCTGAGAGCTGACCTTACAGACAACCTCCACAGCATTGATCTAAAAGCAGCTGGACTCTATTATTATTATACCCTTATTTTACCAGGCTAGTCTCAGGAGATTAAAATCTCTTTTCTGAGAAAGACCTGGCCAAAACGTGTCTAACAACTAAACATATTATCAGGATAGAGGCTGTAATAAGCATTTGATTGAATATTCCAAGATATGAAGCCAACAAAGCGATTAGTGCTTTATGAAGGTGTACTATTAAAAATGATCTAGATGGAAAATCTAATAAAAATTGTGGAGGAAGCCTTTCCCAGAAGCACATGCAGGCATGATTGATGGATCTGACCTCAGCTCAAACACACACACACAGCATCAGACCGCAGCTCTCAAGGTCAAAGCAGGGATGTGTCTGTCCTTCCTGCTGAGGATGTTCTCAGTGTCTTCTCATAATCATCTGCAGTTCAAAATGAGCCTGCCAACATCAAACATTTGGAAACAGTGCTGTATCAGCATTTAAGGCAGATGGTAGATATGAACAGGATGCTCATTACAACGAGTCACATTTTTGTCTAACTAAATTCAAAGTTATTGCAGGTCATTTTTAATTTAAGTCTATTTATAATAAGTGTGAAGGACACCACTTTTTAAATGAAGGGCAGCAAAGATGAATTGCATGTTGCGGGTCAGTTTGAAATGAGTGTGAATTGATCATTTTGCAGCTCAAATTTAAGGCCCTTCAATTTATTTCTATAATAACTAAAGGCCACTGTATGTGTGGCATACTAAACTTTAAAACTTTAAAGTGCAATGTGTTGTTGAACTGAAACTTCAACCAAGCAAACACTTTAAGAAATGTGTTATCAGCTCAAAAGGATACAAAGCTTTTGTGTTTTAAGTAATGCTGCAGTGGAAGAATGCTACACAGAACAAATTGCCGTATTTCTGAAGAAAAAGTAAAGAAATCAAATAATTCTAGGTCTCTGAGCTGGTGTTAGGTTAAAAATTAAAGATTAAAACATTATTCATACCACAACACTAAATACAGGTATGTGCATCTTTATGAGATATTGTACTAGATATTATCTTAAAATAGACATTGTAAAATACTGTAAAAGTGCATCTTTATTTTAAATGGACAGCAATATAGTCTGGCAAATACATTTTCAAAGTATACACTTTCTTTGGGACATATGGGACCATCCTGACAAGTGTGGTCGCCATGATTTACGGTCTCTTGCACCAATTTAGGGCAGAAGAAGAGGAAGAAAGAAGAGGGGCACTTTCCAATTTCCTTTTTTTAATTTTTAATTTTTATTAGGTACACATGACTTTTTTGCTGAAGGTTAAACCTGAAGGACAATTTATTTACCAATTAATTAATATCGGACAATGATGCCTGATGTGTGTGTGTGTGTGTGTGTGTGTGTGTTCATTTAGTTACAAACTCCTAATTCAGCAATACTGACATTATTCATAATTGATGTTGAATTTTAAATGACTGCTTGTATCTTTATTATTAACATAAAATGCATTGTTTCCTTAAGGAAGTAGTAGTGTCATATCACTAAAACATAATAATAGCCAGAAAAAATTTCCAATTTCTTTAGGATCAGACTGTCAAATCTAAAAATAAGTAAATAAATAAATAATATACAATACTATAGAAGCTATCAAAACCAACAAAAGAACAATAATATGCAAGTACTCTGGTTCGTGTACTAAACACTGGTTGTACATTTTGTTACTTTGTTGTATGTCATGTATAATGCGAGTGTGCGAATTTACCAAGTGTAAAGGTTGTAGGTGAGTTATTAATAAATAAATAAACAAATTAATAAATAAATAAAATTGTAGTGATGATCTAGAGCGCCCCCTGCTCCCCACCAACCCACCTTGCAGGCGTTTCGCCTACTCAACAAAAACGGAGGAAAGTTAATTAAAAAAGAG